ACTGATTGAAAACATCTGCGGGGGTTAAGACAGCAGCAGAAGAAACTCCCAGCTTCACAGATGAGTTTGTTGGAGAGACCTACAGGGTCCTAGAATATATACAAGCCCATCTACCCAGGAATCAGCACCAGAAGGGCCCAATTTGCTTGTGGGAAGTGGGGGAAGTGACTGAAATCGGGCAGAGAGCGGAACAAGCGTTCTCTGTACCCCTCTTGGACTCCTTCCTCACAAAGAGCATCACAATGCAGTGATGTGGGTTACCCCTCCCTGGTGAACACCTAAGGCTCCACCCTTCACTACATAACAGGCACATCAAGACAAAAAAATGGCCCAAATGAAAGAACAGATCAAAGCTCCTGAACAAATACAACTAAGTGACTAAGAGATAGCCAACCCATCAGATGCACAGTTCAAAGCACTGGTGATCAGGATGCTGACAGAATTGGTTGAATTTGATCACAAATTAGATGAAAAAATGAAGGCTACGCTAAGTGAAATAAAGGAAAATGCACAGGGAACCAATAGTGATGGGAAGGAAACTGGAACTCAAATCAATGGAGTGGACCAGAAGGAAGAAAGAAACATCCAATCATAAAAGAATGAAGAAACAAGAATTCAAATAATGAGGAGAGGCTTAGGAACCTCCAGGACATCTTCAAGCATTCCAACATCCAAATATAGGGGTACCAGAAGGAGAAGAGGAAAAGCAGCAAGTGGAAAAGTTATGTGAACAAATAATAAAGGTGAGCTTCTCCAATCTGGCAAAGGAAATAGACTTCCAGGAAGTCCAGGAAGCTCAGAGAGTCCCAAAGAAGTTGGACCCAAGAAAGCACACACCAAGGCACTTCATAATTACAATATCTAAGATTAAAAATAAGGAGAGAATCTTAATAGCAGCAAGAGAAAAGGAGAGAGTTACTTACAAAGGAGTTCCCATCAGACTATCAGCTGATTTCTCAAAAGAAACCTTGCAGGCAAGAAGGGGCTGGAGAGAGGTATTCAAAGTCATGAAAGGCAAGGACCTCCATCTAAGATTGCTCTATCCAGCAAAGCTTTCATTTAGAATGGAAGGGCAGTTAAAGTGCTTCTCAGATAAGGTCAAGTTAAAGGAGTTCACCATCACCAAGCCCTTGTATCCCCGTTACATATGAAATGTTAAAGGGACTTATCTAAGAAAAAGAAGATAAAAAAACATGTACAGTAAAATGACAGCAAATTCACAGTTATTAACAACCACACCTAAAACAAAACCAAAAACAACTAAGCAATCAACTAGAACGGGAACAGAACCATGGAAATGGAGATCACATGGAGGGTCATCAACAGGGGAGTGAGAGGGGGGGAGAGGGGAAAAAGGTACAGAGAATAAGTAGCATAGATGGTAGGCCGAAAATTGATGGCAGAAGGTAAGAATAGTATGGGAAATGTAGAAGCCAAAGAACTTATATATAAGATCCATGGAATGAACTAAATTGGGGGATTGTGGGCAGGAGTGGTTGTGCAGGGTGGAGGGGAGTGAAGGGGGGGAAATGGGACAACTGTAATAGCATAGTCAATAAAATATATTAAAAAAATAAAATAAAATTTTCTTCTTAATTTTTTCCCTTCCAAACATCCTACCTATATAGGATTTCAATATCATCATCTTTTCAGCCTTAATTAAAACTGCTTTCTTGAGCTTGGTCATGACTTCTTCTTTCTTCTCAGCTCTTACCCTGTACAGCACTGACCTTGCTTCAACATTTTGATTGTTTGTTTTGTTTCTCCTTTCTCCCTCCCCATGACCATGATAATTATTCAAAAACATCTGTCAGAAATGCTTAGACTGTGTTATTATGAAGCAAATGCCAGTTTATCCAGTAGAATCTATATGCAGCTACTTTTCATAGAGTACTTTCACGAAGACTAAAAAATTACCTAATTAGCCATGTGCCAAAATCAATGTAGTTTTATTTTAATCATAAAGCTTAATTTATCTGATTAACATATAGATTATTAGGAGAGTTGGAAATGAAAACAAAAATTCCTAAAGAATGTATTTTTTTAATGTTCTGTTATGGAGAGTGGGTAAAAGTTTCTGTGATGAGTCCACTGCATGGGGTATATGCCAATTAAAAAAAAAAGAAAGAAAGAGAGAGGGAGAAAGGATGGATGGATGAAAGGAAGGAAGGAACAGGAAGACTAGCATTTTGAGGTTAGAAATTAGGTCTATGAAAGGAGTAAGAAGGGTCCTATAAAAAAAGATACAATTGTAACTGGAAGATGCCAGAGGGCAGAATTAAAGTTAACTTTGCATATCCTGCTTCTCATGAATTTAAATTCCCCCTTGCCATTGAGTTGATGTAATTCCCCTCTCCCATAATTGAGCATAAATTACTGTACAAATGTGGGATAAGTTGATATGGGCTCTAAGGAGATAATGAAGTAAAATTAGTAAGAAATTATACTTACAGTACTTGGGTTTTTTTAAGAAGCAAGAATATTGCCATTCAGCCAATGAAATACCTACAAAGTAATTTATTAATAAATCAATTTTGATAAATTAATATCTAATTCAAAATTTTTACAAAATAATTATTAAAACAAAAAGAATGGCTTTAAGAAACAAAAGCAAAAATAGTTTTTCACATTCTAAATATTGTTCTTACTTCCTGGGGTATTTTTCTCCCTATACTGTATCCACACTGCAGGTGTAGGGAAGGAATTCAGATGTGAGGCATTATTCTATTTGGGGTTGTCCCCTCTCATTTGGACTGCAGGATCTGTGCCTTTAATATTAGCTAGTATTCTTAGTATCATTTATTTTGGGTGAAGTAGCAATAAATAAGTAAAGTGTTATAAGGAAAACAGAAGTTGCAAGAAATAAATTTTTTCATTATTGCCCTTAATAAGGACACTTTGCCTTTGGAAGAAATAGACCTAAGCACCCAAAAATGTGTAGAAAGGGATGATTGTCTTCACCAGTGTAGTGATGGCTAAGCTAGTGCAATGATAGAAAAAGAACACCTTGTCATACAAATTGTTTACAGATTTCCACTCCTCTGTGATTCCATCTGTTTGTAATCCAAAGCTCCTCCCCCTGCTTCCATCTCACACTCTGAGTTAAATGAGTCTCATCAGAGCCCTACTCTGCCCCTGGATCCCCAGGCTTGGCTCTGGGGTATGGGTGGGGCTTCCAACTGGAGGTGTGTTCATTTGGCAGTGTCATAGTTGGTCATCTACTCTCTCTTGAAAGAACCTCTTTTGAAAGATTTTCTGTTTATTAAAAGAAAAACTTCAAGTGTAGATCCCAAGAAAGTTAAATGTTGTTCTTGTTTATTTCATGTTGTATATTGTTTCAAAATGTGTCTTACCAAATCTTCAGATGACAGGGTTAACACTAATTTAGCAAATAAAAATGCTCCACATCCAGTTAAATTTGAGTTTCAGATAAACAACAAATAATTTTTTTAGTGGTAAGTATGCCCCCAATTTAACTGGGTGTCCTACATTTTACCTGAGAAACCTAGTTGAGACCAAATCAAGATTCCAGAATTAGATGGACTGAAAAGATTGGTCACAATATTCAAGGAACAAATTCAATATAAATGTGATTTTTGAATATTCATATGTAGATTCTTAAGGCCATATGGTATTGCAGTTATGTTTTAAAAGAGTTATTGTCTTTTAGTGACATTTACTGAAACATTGTTTGATGAAATTATGTAATGTTTGGGATTCAGTTGTAAATAATACAAGAGGCAGATAAGTGGATGGAGCAGATTGGTTATGATGAAGGTTGATTATATTCTATTGTCTACTTTAGAATCTGTTTGAAATTTTCCATAGTAAAAGAAGCGATGGGTATGTTTAAGTCATGTCTTTAGGTTTAAAATATCTATTATTGAAACATCCTAAATGTTAGAGAGTCAAGGGCTTGCACAGTGGTACTGGGAGAGGCTGCAGATGGAGGCAGGGAATAGTGCACCATTTTGGCATTGTATCATCTTTGTTCCTCCATTGGGATATTAATCATCTTGATGTTTGTCTTTATCTTTCCTGAGCAATGCAAGAAAGTTGCAAGTTAGTGGTTAGCTTCTCAGTTTGAGGCTGTTCAGGATATAACAGGATATCTAGGGGAAGCTCATGAAGAAGAAAACTGGTTAAGTAGAGAGGGACAGGGCTTTGTTCTATGGCCAATGTTTTGAAAATAGTTAAAACAAAATGAAATAAACCATTGGTTTGGGTAAAAATAACAAGCATTACATTTTTTATTTTGTTTGTGCTTTTTTTTTAACAACTGACAGTCAGTTTATTAAGAAGATTGAGTTAGGCATCTGCAATGGTGACTTCAACCTCAACTCCTGGCTCAATACTGATGGAAGTAGTCTTCTTAACAATCTCAGAGGGGCTGTACAAGTCAATGAGTCACTTGTGGATCCTCTTCTGAAATTGATCCCAAGTCTTAGAACTCTCCCTGCAGGGAGTTTTTCTTGTAGTGATTCTTAGAGTCTTGGTAGGCATCTGAACTGGTCCTTTCACTTTGAGATTCTTTTCCTTTGTGCCCCTGATCAAGTCAGCACATACCTTCTCCAAAGACTTTATGTTCCCACTGGTTAGTAATTCTGATTCGGTGAATAGCCATCTCTGGTTCCACAGGTATCTTTCCGGTATCTTTAAAAGCCATTGCGGCCGCGCTGCTTCCTGTCTGACTTTTTCCTGGTTGGAGGCGAACAGCGGTAAGCCAGGAGCAGAAGTGGGCTGAACATCGGTGAGCCGCAGCTGCAACTGCGACTTACTCAAAAAGATTGTTTTTGGTTTTTACAAAACAAATTTCTTAAACTGATTGGATTGAAGCCTTGGTAAATTGATAAATTGGGTATGTAGTCTAATAATTCCATTCGGGCCAAGCTTCTCCAGCAGGTAGCTGTCAACAGCTGTGAATGCTCTGTCTCTGGCATGACTCCTGGCAGTTACTCATCGATGGACATCTTTAATGGTTTGCTTTTTTCTCATTCCAGGATTTCCTTCAAATGTTGTTGGAGAACATCCCAGAAGAAAAAAGGTGAGGGCCAATTTAGGAATTAAGAGCCTAGTTTTACTTTTATGTTTAAAAAGACCCTGCCGTTGTTTGGCTATTAAACCAAGAAAGTTCAATCTTCCTCTCTTAATAGAGGCAGGGACCTGGCCCAGCCAGCAGGAGTCCTAGGAGGATCAACCAAACTTCGAAAGGGGCCCACGTGGATACTGGAAGCTAGTGGGCACAGCAGGGAGGCCCAAGTCAGGAGCCCCCACAGTGGTACATGAGGCAAGCCAAAGATACTGTGTGGCCTCAGCTGCTGTGGAAAAGAATGGAAGAGAGGAAAGTTCTAACAGTCAGGGTGGCTGTAGTTAACATGACTTAATATAAGGAAACACTGTTTTACTGAAGGTGAATATACTGTGTAATAATGAGTGTGGCATCTGAAGTCAGGCTCTTCACAGTTCTAACCCCAGCTCTACCCCTTCCCATCTATACAACATTTGTAGCAAGTCATTTCATCCCTGCAAATTCCAGTTTTCTACCCTCTATGGCAGGGTTTCACAGAGCATTAAATGGGATAATACATATGAAAAGCAGGTGCTTAATTTCCTATTGGTACAGTTATAACAATAATCAGCTTCTGTGCATTAGGCATATATTCAGGATCTATCTACACGAGATCCATTTGATCCTCATTACAGCATTTTCTCTTTCTTCATCATCATTACCATCATTATCATCATCACCATCACCACCATCATCATCATCATGATTATGATAAGCTGATACTTTTTCAGAGGTTACTATAAATAGGCACTCAGTTAATCCTCTAAACAATACTATCTGGTACGTTGTGTTTTCATCCTTGTTTTACCAGTAAGAGGACTGAGGTACTGAGGGGCTGAGTAAGCAACCAGTGCTACCAGAGGTGTGTGTGGCAGGACTGGGATTTGCTTCTGGGTAGCCCGGCTCTGGAACCTCTGCTCTTATCCACAGTGTTCCACAGGTTAAGTAACTTTCTAAGATACCTTAGTTAGCAAGGGAGCCAGTGCAGATTGTAATGAGGTCTGTCTGGCTCTCACCCATGCTCTTTGCTGTATGAGCTCACTCTGCAAAGAAAGATCCTCTTCTTTGGAGGTGTCCAGTTTTAGTCTGGCTAACCACCTACAGGGATCCATCAAAGTCTGGATTAGATTCATTCCAACCTTTCCTTCTAATTTCTTATCTTAATTTAGGCACTAAAAGTGAACCCCCTGGAACATAATTTCTAATAGTAAAATTGGTATCAAATGTTAAAGGGGGCATCTTGAGAAATTAAACGTTTCTTTCAAGAAGAACCAACAGTACTCTCCTTTCTGTCCCACAGTTTTAGCCATATTTTTATGCTCAGAACAGATTTCCAAATGTGGAACTCTGTGGAACTCTTTAAAGCAGACATTGATTTAGATCCATGCAAGGCCAGATACCTCCATGTTGATGAGCCTGTTTGGTAGGCAGCCTAATTCAGGAATCTTACAAGTAAGGTGTCAGGGTTTATGCTACTGGGAAATGAAGATAAATTCAGGGGGTTGGAGAAATCCAGGGGCCATGAGGATGTGGAGGTTTTTTCTTCATCTTCCACCTTCTACCTCCAGTTCTTGGTTCAATAGTTAGAAATGTTATTGTTCAGCTTTAAAAAAAATCAGATGGGAACACACACATAAAGCAAATTGGAGCATCATATACAATTAACATAGCTAAATTATTTGTTAACTTCCTTAATTTCTACCTTTTTTTGTTCATGCCTTTGATGCTAAAGGAAGTCTTACCCATGGAGACTGCATGGGTCTGTAGTCACTGGACCAGATACGTAGCCTTTTAAGGTGACTCAAAGGAAGTATGGCTTGTTTTGGAAGGTCTGAAATGTTTCAGATTTACCATTTTTTTCTTTTCAAAGAGAAATATGGGTTTTCTTCATGTAAAAATCACTTCAGATGTGATTATCATTCCTAAGGTCAAGAACAATAGTTTACTTGTATGATTTTTTATTTTCCTTCTCTTTTGTACTTGCCCTGGAATAACTTTTCAGGTCCTGTAACAGAATGGAGGGCTTTCCTTAGGAACTAATGCAGAAGAAAAAAAAGGAACAAGTAAACTAATAGAAATTATGTAATTACCTCTTGTTACCAAAGTGTGTTTCTGAGTAATGACTGTGCATTCTTTCAGAACTTCTTAGGGCATAAATACAGTAGTTTTCATGGAAGTAACAAATTGAATTTTAGTTTGGGAAGTCTTCTTATTTTTATCCCTTCCTAATAAGGTTATAGAGTTCATTTGGATGGCCCTGAGCCCTCTTGTTCCAGGGAACCTGGATTTTATCATTGTGAATATTTATTGAGGTGGCACACTATGGACCCACCAAAAGATGTTTGTTGTAATTGTGGAAGAGCAGCATCTCTGTTTAATGGTGGCCAACAACCACCAACCTTCTTCCCCAATGAGAGGATACTTCTCCCAGTTAGGATCATATTTTGGCTACCAGGTTAGGTGCCTTTTAAAAATTCTCCTTAGTCCTGGACATTGTGGCTCAGTTGGTTGGAGCTTTGTCTTGTAGGTAAAGAGTTGTGGGTTCAATTTTCGGTCAGGGCACATACCTGACCGAAAATCGGTTGTGAGTTGTGAGGTTGTGAGTTGACCACAGGTTTGTGTACGTGCGTGTGTGACCCCCAGTTGGATATGTGCAACCCCTAATGTGGACACATATGTTCCTGGCTGGATGCAGATCCCTGGCCCAGGTGGATATGGGAGGCAAGCAATCAATGCTTCTCTCTTGCATCAGTGTTTCTCTCTCTCCCTTCTTCTCTCTAAAAGCAATGCAGAAAATGTCCTCAGATGAGGATAAAAAATAAAAATAAAAGTAAAAATTCTCCTTTAAAAGTAAGACAATTTCATAACTACAGTGAACCTATTTCAGCAAATGTACTGGAATGCTTTTTGAAACTCAAACATCTTTCCTGCTAACTACTCTCTAAATCTAATTCAGCTATTGAAACAGATTGTTTGCCCTTTTCCCTATGCAGCATATTATATCAATTTTATCTAGGTCTCCAAAGGCCCACACCTATCCTCAGAACATCTAATTTTTGACTCTTTTGCAAAATGATCCTTAGGCACATCTATTAGGCAAGTGGGCCATTCTGAACAGGGCAAGGTTTTTCAGATTTGACCAGCCAGTCAGTGTTCAGGGGCTGGCATTCTCCATCATGCTGCTTTTGTATTGTTCTCTTGCTTCGATTAATTTAACATTCTCTATTGAGCACCTCCCATGCCAGGTTTTAGGCTGGACAATGGGGAACAGAGGGAATAAACTCCATGGCTAGCCCCCAGGAAGCTCCTAGTTAAGGAGAGGATATGCTGAAGACATGCATGTAACATACATTGTGACTCAGTGTAGGAAATGCTCCGGGGAGCTTCACAGTTCTGGGTACACAGAGAAGGGCCTCATCAGTCCTAGCCTCCAGCCTTGAGGCAAAGAAATATCACTGAAGGTTTTAAGTAGAGGAGTCCCTTCAGCAGATAGGGAAGGTACTCTGGGGTGAGAGCAGTATGGAAGATAGATGGGGGTGGGAAGAATGAGAAGTTAGGAGACCAATTTGAAACCAGTACAGCAACTCAGTCAACAGGTCTGGAGCTGGATCCAGGGCAGGAATGGTGGCGGTGGCCCTGGGGTTGGAGAGTAATGAGCAATCTGAGAGATTCCAGAGGCAAGACTTGGGTGATGGGTGGTGAACTTTGAATGGAGGAATCCAGCATGAGCCTGACCTTTTCTTCTGATCACTCAGCTACTCTGAAGTTGCACTGGAAGTATGAGGGCCCTTGCTTTATCTGGGGAGTCAGTGTGATGCAACAGGAGCAGGAGGGACAGTATTTGAAAGGGGAAGCAGGGAGATGAGGAGTTGAATTTTAGACATTGTCAGTGAGAGGTTTCTGTTTAAATGCTGATGCTTAAGAGACAAAGAGAAATAAAAGCTGGCAGGGCTCAGAGGGAAATCCTGACAAATCCTGCACCCTGGCCTGCCATGTGAAAGAACACCCTGTGGAGTACCTTACCCAATGTACCCTGCTGCTGATGTTCCAACAGTGTCGACAGCTACCAGTTCTGTCTTTGCTCTTCAATTATTGTGTTTGCATGTACATGTTCATGTGTTGGTTTTAATTAAGTACTTTTCCTCCTCCATGGAACTAGGGAGTACTTGTTTTATAAATGTTAAGTCAGTAACATTCATTATCTATCCAAGTACAAATGACTTCTTTTGATCAAGAAAATAAATAACCATGTGTAAAGCTTTGAGATATACCCTATTTGTATCCACATTTAGAGAGGGCACTTAATATTTAAAACCTGTACAGAAGGTAAGTTGCATTCCAGAACAGGAGTGTCTTCCATTTCAGACCTGAGCACTGAAGTTCCTAAACCTTGCCTCCATCTAGTACTTGCACTCCCAAGGGTCCCTCCATCTATCCTTTAGTCCGTGTCAAAGTGGCTGGGCCTTGTGCTTCCCTTCAGAGACGTGGATAGAACATGGTCTTTAGAATCTCAAGAGACTGAGGACAGGAGTAGAGTGATGAAGACGTTTCTCCCGATCAACAAGTTGATAGGCACAGTAGCAGATGTGGCTGATACTCAACTCCCCATCCCTGTCACTCTACCCTTAGAAATCAACTGAGCAAACAATATGGCACATGCCCTGCCATTTTCACGCAAGTGTGGGTCTATTTCAATGTACTTGAACATCGCAAAGAGAAGAGCAGTTCCTTATTTTCTGGCTGCTAACCAGCATCATGCCAGGGCATCTAAGATATTCTCTCCCCTGTTGTAGTAATTATTTGTGATCACATTCATAGCTCACAGGGACTGGAGATGGACATCTAAAACTCATGGAACTCTCCAACCAGAGGGTGCACCCACCTGCTGCTCCAGAGACCCTAGAGGCTTCAGTCAGAAGGTGGAAGTGCCACTCACGGGCATAGATCAGGAGGCTAGGCAGCCAAGATGGTCTGGT